AGCAAGTCCTACTGCCTGTCTAATTACCTCACAGATTCTGAGGGGATCCTGCAGAGTGAGACAATCTTTTCAGTGATTGATTGTGTCAGAGCAAGGACTGAATTTAACCTTGCAATGATTTTCTAATGGTTTGACTTGTACTTGTACTTCAGAATTTCGGGGAACCTCGGTCTGAGGTTCATTCCATTGCGCTTCTGTTCTTCAGAATTTTGGCCTTGCACGTACTTCCAACGTCGGATAAGGCGACCAGCTGGCAACTCAACATGCCAACCTAAATCATCGTTGCTCAGCACTGCCGGGAGGGCGTCCACGGCCTGACTGTTCAGCACCAGATCCCATGTGACTGCATGATGTACTGCAAGGTGTTAGGCGTTCGAAGGGTTTCGTGGTCTTGACGTTGAGCCTCACGATGGCAAGCAGAATCGCCTCGCTCACCATCACATCAACAACGACATCATCAACATCATCATCGTCACTGTGCGGTCATCATCGTTACCGGAAGCAGACGAATCGGTGTATCAGTGAGAAATATGCTGGTAGCACGTTTGGGACTGGGTCTGGGTAGGTATCGCAGCCTGGCACTGCTCTGGTCGTCCCCTTGCCACCTTTGACCTCCTGGAAGATGAGTTGGAGAGGCCACCGCTGCAGGTTCCAGGGTATGGTTTGGAGTTCCAGGAATAGGCATGGATTGGGTCACTGCCCAAGATTGAGGAGTGCAGCGCAAGCTTTCTGATGCAGAGTTTGCAGGCTAGGTGTGCGGCATTCATGATGCTGCTGCTGCTGCTGGCAATGGTTGTGAAGGGGTTGGGAGGTTGCGGCGTGGATCCAGGATGAGCACTTGCAGCAGGTTGGAAGGTACGTGATATGAGTGAAAGTTTCATGAAACACCATTTCGCTGGGTGTGGGTGTGTGTATATGCATCGGCTATAGGATTCACCAGGAATATTCGTGAGGGAATATAGTTTGGGGCCATAAATCCGGTTCTTCCCCTTTGATAGTGACAGTCCATACATGCTACAGCAAGCTTCAGGCCTCCCTGTGTGACTGAAGAAAAACCCATCAAGAAGAACGCCGCAGATGTCACTTCCCACATTCATCGCAGCCTGCCCGTGTAGAATCATGGGTTAAGAACGTTGCTGTTCAAGTAGAAGGCCCAAGAATGGCAAAAGGATTTTGTCGTTTTTTTTTGTACGGCATGCATAAGCTCTACAGGAGTCCGAAATCAGTGATGGTGCTGCATGGGTTCCATGTCCACCGACATTACATGGAACAACTAGCCAAGGCTTTATTTCTATTGGGCTAGGCCATGGCACCCTAGTTACACGTCTCGAAGCCCTGGCGGGCCCAGCGTTTGAGATTTTTCGCAGCATTACAGTCTTGCCGACACTTTGCTTGCATTTATTTTGGGGCACTCTATGAAAATTAGCTGCCCCGCAAGCTCACAAACCTTGTTGGAGCTTTGACTCTCATAGCCAGGGCTGCCTGGGCCGGCATTCCGCCTAAGCCGCCGCAGTCTCAGGACTGGGAGCCGGAGGTTTCTCAAAATGTGGACTCTGTTCTGAGCAGTTCTTACAATACCATCAGGATCCAAACGTGTTGTGCGCATACGCGCGACTGCAATTCGGATCAAGATTTTGGCTTGTGCAGTTGCAGGTTGGGGGTTGGCTTCCAGGGCAGCCCAGCTCATGTCATGCTCTCGGATATTGCGTCATCTAGTGAATGAAGCACAGCTTGTAGGAGCTTTACCGACAGCAATTGGGCACCTCGTAGAAGGCCAAATACGCCGATGTCAGCATCGGTACTGGAAGCATACACATATCAGGCTTTACGAGCATTGACGGTCCAAAGCGCAGCGCATGCCGGCTAAGCGTGCGCGAAATTCCAAGCTCATCGTGAAGAGAGAGAGGGAAGAGAGAGAGAGCCTGTGGAATGGCTAGGGAGCTGGTTAGGGGGTTTCACCTTTGCAGGGGGATAGTTTTGGATTCCGTGGCAAGGACCACTGAAATGCAGGAATGAGAAGCCTTACCTGTATCGAAGTCTTACAGCCGGCTTGAGAAGGGAGGAAGCCGAATCGGCCTAAGTGTGGGTTGTGGTTGTTACCAATTTAGGGAGTTATCGGTCTGGTTAGATTAGGCAGCACTCCGGGCCTCCCCGGTACCAACTGGAGACGCCTGGACTTGCGAGGGCCCGGGGAGAACCCCAGCTCACCCGTAGGCGTGGGCAGAGCCCCAAGAAGAAGAACCAGAAGCGAGAGAGAGAGAGAGAAAGCGAGAGCTCGGATCGTACTCGGGGCTCGAGGCTGTGCCTCGGTCCACCCATAAGGGGTGGGCATAGCCCGAAGAAGAAGAAGAGCTCGGATCGTTTTCCAATCCATTCAGCCAGTAAGCTTTGGAGGAGTTCACCACCCTGAGTCAATGGTCAGAACCTCAGTGTGTAGTGTAGATGCTGCAAAGCTGGACAGAGCCTGCCAACCTCATGCATTCGGCGGACAGTGTCCCTGATCCAGCATGTTGTGTTTGGCCTTTCACGCTCAGCACTACACGCTTTTCTGGGGATCCAAATTGCACGGAGCCCGTCCAAGCTTTTAAGTTTGAGCTTGCCGAGGTACCGTGCGAGTCCTCCGCCGAGGCAACCTGTGGAAACGTTGCCTCTCAGACGCAGACAGTGCTTCCAATGCTCCGAATGATTCTTACCGGTTTTACCTAGGGCCTGGTATTCTCAGCAATCTGTTCCGCAGGGCTCCTCCTCCTAGCAGCTTTTCCCAATCCGGCCGATCGTTCTAAAAAAAGCCCGCTCATTACCATGCAGGTCTGGATGGTATTTGGATGGGCAATCCCGCCCAGACGCTAGCAGTGATCTCAGAAGAACAAGGCTGCAGGGAGTAAAGATAGGAAGCGGCTTCTCAACAGTCATACCTAGTAAGTGCTTTTGATCTGCCTGATTCGTCAGAACTGGTTGGTACGAACATGCAGGGGTTGGGGATGGGCCGTTGAGTAACGCAGTCAGGACATGTAAATTTTGTTGGTTGTCGCTGCGATGGGTGAAATGGTACACGTTGCATTTCGCCGCGCAGAAAGATGTTCCAATTTGCCGGGCTGAAGCTCGCTGAAACAGATCTTTGCGCTTCCTCTCGCCCTAGAACTTGTGCAGCTGAGGTCAGCCGGGCATAACGGAGCGATATGACATTGGCTCAGTCTCTCTTGCGAAGTAGTACATGGATTCCAGGGCAACCGCTCTCGACATCTTATGGCTCAAGCAAGGCCGATTCCGGACTCCAGAGTGGTAGCCAGGGAATCCCTCACTTGGTGTCATCCCAGTCGATACCAGATTGGGCATACAGTGCAGTTGCTGGCAAGTAGCTTAGCAAGCTGGGAGCACACGCAGCACTGCCTGTGACAAATACAAGGGCTGGAAATTCGCGAAATCTTTCTGACAACAGCCGCAACAGCTGCCTATCCGTTCAAAAGTAATTAGTGTTTTGCAGTCCTTTCGGGAGTGTCATCTGAGCATCTAAGCCCTTGCACCAGGCCAGGTACCCTGTAACAGGGTCGCGGTCGATACCTTTAGCTCCCTCTTGGAGGAAACTGGTTCCATTGGTTTCAACCCTCAAGGGTCCAACCATTCCCCAAGACATGAAGTCAGTAATCTTACTGCAGTTTCAGCAAAACTTCCGTGAGAGCAGTTTGCCTCTTTATATGTAAGCTCGCTTCACAAGGCTGTACGGGCAATAGATTTACAAGTTGGAAACAAGATGTAAAGCTTAATGTCTTACACGGAAGTTTGGCTCCCGGATCCCTGCAAACCTGCCTCACTAAGCAATTCCCCTTCATGCCTGGATATGTCCTGAACTGGCGTTGCCGCTTGGACCTTTTGGGAGACTCTGTAAACGCAGTGCCCTCTGACCCTTGCGCATGAAGACTGACTGGACAGTCTCATGGGTTTGAGGGCAAATGTGCGATCGCTTCCTTGCAGGCATAAAAGTCATTCTGCTCTTGAGCTTCATGCTATCAACGGTTCACCCGACAACCTCTTGCCAGTTCCTTATCAATGCCACTCTTCTCAGTACACTTGCCCGCATCTTCTCTTATGCGCCAGATTGACTCAAGCACGGTCTCATGCCGCAACATGGCATCTTTGACATGCTCGGCCTTGCAAAGATGAAGATTGGGCTGTGTCTTCTCAACTACTCGTTCTAAGTTGGATGTAGAGTGAACCTCCTTTCTTTTGCAGTCTTGCCAAGTCTAGCCGCGTGTAGTAGGCACGTGCAAGATAGCGCATTTGTCAACTCATTTCAAGTTTGTGGAAGTATATCCATAGTCAATCATGCTCATCACTCCTTCATACTGATCTAGCCTGAGTATCACGACCATTTGTATTCATGTCATGTTCGAAGACTGGTCGGTCCATCTGGCATGGGCAGATGGCAAAGAAGTTTTTGGCAAGGCGTCAAAGGGGTACACGCTGGCCACATGCAAGAGTTAGCGACTGCAATGATGGAAATTGCAATTGTAGTATTCTGGTGCGAAAACAATTGCGCTTACTGGCAAGATTCCAAGATGCCTCAGATTGATGCAGGTAAGGATGACTCCTAGCGAGTACTAGGAGAGAAAACTTCTAAAGCAACAATTAAGATCCAGCCTCTTGTTTTTCCCTCCAGGAAATTTTGCTGCCGCTGCCTCTTGCTCTGGGACGTCGAAATACGCTCTGGTTGAAGAGTGCTCGGCTGGCGTCGCTTTTCTTGAGCTTGTTGGCGATTGGAGTCGGGCTGATCTGCTGGTTGAGGTTTAGTGCCATACATGCCGGATATGTGCACAGCGAAGCCACTGGCATTTCTTTCGACGTGGGCAAGCTCCATCACTTGAGCCTGGATGGTTCTTCAGCAGACTCGCAAGTTCTTTGAATTGCCTGACCTGGCCAAGGGAAGACAATCCACGTACACCCCCAAAACCCCACGCCAGAAAATTATGTTAAGTGGCAATTTCAGCACGATGGCCAAGGAGCCACATGGTTATGGTTGCGGGGCACGCTGTTGTCATGGCAGACTCCTTGGAGCACATCCTGCACAAAGAGTCTGATTGGCTCCAGAGTTGTGTTTGGAACAGCTTGAAGCCTTGATTTGATTAGGTCTATGCGCAAGGTAAACATACATCACAGCTCGATCAAAGCGGCTTTCACATGATCCGCAAGGAGTCTAGGAGCTCACGGCTTTTCCACAGGAATGCAAGAATCCAGAGACGAATCTTTCGCTCCCCAAAGACCGAGATCTAAGCCGCGGAACTAATCGTCAGACCAGGTTCCTGGAGTCCTACCAGCGTGGCCAAGATTTGCCTCAAGCTCTTGTAAGCCACATCAAGGCTCCACTGCTGGCTCACACCGGGGCCTACAGAAGGAGATTAATTAAGTCACATCATGATGAGCGGTCAGACTGCCTTCAGCTGCATATTTGAAGTTCGCCATGCAGTTGGTCAAGGCATATAAACCACAAGCCCGGTCCCATGTGATTTTCACATCCAAGTGAGTTGAGAGATTGCAGCTCTGCAGGCGCAAGCTTGATGGGGTTGACAGCTCGTGCTCTGTAAGGTCTGGGTTCGGATGAGGCTGACTCATAGGTGGAAGGCAGAATTACGTCGGGCTTCAGGATGCACAATAAAGCTTAGGGCTTTTGTGTATAGGGTTTTAACTTTGGCCGGTTGAAGGTTGAGCGGCTGCATTCCGGAACTCAATTAGGCTTACGAGGCCCAGATGATTCACTTCGCGGTATCTTTACTCTCTATCCCTTAGCAGTCGCCTCAGAAGAAACTTGCAGCAGCATTCAGGGGTGGCGCTGCATTTGCGTGAGGGTGCGACAGGGTTCACTGCTTGTGTGCGGGGATCCCATATCTCTCAGCACCTCCTTGCATACATGGGATGGGGAGTGTAGAGGCTGTCCTGCTTGAATGGTTTGTAAATGTAACACCTTTTTCGAGTCAACGTTGAAGCCTTTTCCGGAATGACGTGTCTTAAACAACATGTTTGCTCATTCAGGCAAAGCATTAGGGTGCGCAACTAGCCCAGGTTTACTTGAAAGTACTTTCCTCGGGCGGAAAAAACATGTCCAAATAGGAATTTCTCAGCAGAACCGCTCTGTAATCCCTCGTAATCCCCAAATACGCCTGGGCTTCCCCAGCCAGGGCACATTCACGTCCGTTCTTCCGAGAAACTCCCAAATCCAATCTGCATCCTACCTTTTTCCGCTTTTGTGGGAGGCCGGCGTTGAAGTGGCAGCATTGGACCCGAAGCTTGGATCCAATGAGTAATTGGGGTTGCGGGGTGAGGTTTATGTGGTTGATAGATTTAGGCATTACCGGGGTTTCCGGGGGCTATAAGCTTATGATGATTGGATAGAGTAATCTGGACCTGAACACCTTGAAACGAAGCGCAATGAGCGCTTCCAACATCAGAAGAGGTAAGGAGACCATCCTTGGCAAGTACGTGTGGAGGGCCGCCCACCGAAACAAGTAAAACAAGACCCTACAGGCCTTCTCCTTCACAGAATCTCCAAGCAGCAGCTAGCGGCACCTGAGCCAGGAAGGCCCTTCTCATCTTTTCCGGGGGCCAGACGCGTGCGGCTGCAGGACCCAGGGACGAAGGCCGGAGCCTACCAATAAGCCACCAGTAAGTTTAATATAGAAACAAGCATCTCGAGATTCGGGGCTTCCAAATAATAGGGTCAAGCTCGAGGTTAGTTCATTGGGTGGTCAGGTTTGGCTGAATCCTATTGGCTACCTCAACGCTGTGTAAAGGTTCCGCAACAGAGGCTGAAGAAGGAAGTTGCTCATCTATGGGCTGTCATAATCAAATAATATCCTATTTTGCCCTCTCTGAATGGACTTATTGGTGGCGCGGGCCAACCAAACTACTCTTGCAAGTCCATTCTTCTGCTTCCGTAATTTCCAGGTCCTTGGCAAATTAAATACCTCCCTGCACAGCAAAGCGCAACCAGTGGCTCTTCCGAGAAGGAATGGACAAGCATTGTCCACAAAACCCCTAAGACAAACCCCTAAGACAGAACTAAGAGGTAGTTGCTTGTGCAGGCGGTTTTGACCAGAGACCTGCGCAGACAAGACATGGATACCGGGTACTAGTGTTACGGACTGTACCTACCTAGTCGAGATCCAGTCTTCTCTTCAGAGCCCAGTGGGCAACACTTCCAGGGAAGCTCCTAACCCTTCGTCTACATCAAGGAATTCTTCTGGAAGTTGCCAAGTGTTGTGCTCTAGGTTGGAGCTACTACCGTGTGGCCGAGTACTTCGACTGGTGGGGCCACTGGTCTTTCAGTAACTAAGATATTTGTTTGGGATGCCAACCACTCCTGCTACTGGATTGGAAAGAGCAGTGGGCACTACCTATGGCAATATGATCTGCACTGAAGATGGCAATGCATAGAAGTCGTACACCCTTCAAGAAAAAATCCAAGTGTGCACAAGAAGTCAGGGCATCTTGCTAACCCTGGGGACATCATGGGACATCTGTTGAAACCCAGATTCGCGATTGTTAGACACCGTACCTTTCGTGGCAAATCCTAATCTGAAATCGAGGCTATTCGGCAAACCGGCCAGACTTTCTGCGCGAAGCGCAGCAACGAACCCAGCTGGCAGGGCAAAGCTATATGCCGGTGGCCCAACGCACAGTGACCGAGGAGTTTGCCCTGGATTCTTACCAGAACGTACTCTTTTCCATCTGCCGCTTCAGAGAGATCGTGGGTCACTACCCCGACAAGATCACTGTTGTGAGTTTCACCTTCAAGAAGCTACTCGGCATTGCTTGGCACTGTGAGCCTAACTTTACCTTCAACCTCTTGGAGTCTTAGAGACACTAGAAGTTCAAACATTGAAGAGGCATGGCCAAAATCTGGCTGAAGCTTGGGTTCAACACCCGGTCTGGACCCTTTGACTTCCGCCGTACAGCAGTCCCTTCAATGGGCGGTTAGCACCATCATTTCTTGCTGTTCTTGCTACCTTCCACATGTTTCTGCTGGGTGGCATCGGACTTCGTTGAGACTATTTAATCGCCATCAGCGGCTAACATCTCCCCAAAGCTTTGCTGCAATGGCCAGTCCTTTTCGTGTGTCGGCGCTTTTTGTTCCGCTTCATGTGCAAGCCTTATATGGACCCAGGAAAGATTCGATGTCATAGAAGCTGACTTGTGAGACTCTGAACCCTGATGCAGCCTTTATAGACCCAGAAGGACCATCGATACAAATGCCCAAGCTATATCTACATTTTCAATCTTGCTATATCGGCTTCGACCTTAGGGGCGAGGAGGGCATTGAGCACTTCCGAGTTGAGGTCTTGGTAAAGCACTAGACCATGGCAGTATAAATCTGTGAAATGCGCATCTCTGAGCTATTTAACATCCACACACAAGGCCCCAATTTAGAAAAACATTCCATCGTTGCAAATAGAGGCAGCGCTTCTCTGACCTTCACCGCGGAGCCCTGCGCTTTCCCAGCGCGAGGTACGACGAGTAAAGGGGCAGTTTGAGGGATTGTCAGGTGCAGGAGTGCTGCTTGTTCAGGCTTCAAGGCCAAGAGAAAGAGACGAGAGGCAGGGGTGAGCCCCACAAAGCCAAAGCTCCTAAAGCCACAGCCCGTTTGGCAGATTTCCTAAAACGAATCCCGCATGGACACAGACACTGTGGCAGACGGTTTTTCAGACGATCGATCACTCTGCGCCAGAATCTCTTAATCCCTGAGCTCCCTTTACGCATTATCCCTAAACCCCTCAACCCACATGCCCCCGCATGGCCAGATTTTCCTACGTGGGTATTCAGCCACCTCCTGGCTCTCGCTTCGACATGGTGAGGGCGCAGGGGGGGGAGCTCGGGAGCCCTGTCTTGATACTTAAGAGCCTCCGGCTCAGTCCGCCGACCCAGTGGCGGAGAAAGCACGAAAGCCTAAACGCGAAACCTTGAGGGTTTTCAGCGGCTGGCACGAGACCAATAGATAGGCGCAACAAGACTAGTCC